CTTTTTCTTTTTCTTTTTCTTTTTCTTTTTCTTTTTCTTTTTCTTTTTCTTTTTCTTTTTCTTTTTCTTTTTCTTCTATTCGTATGTTTCGTATAACAGCCACAGGATGCAGGGGTAACAATATTAACGTTGAGTGTTAAGGTTGCTACAAGAAAAATGGTTAATATTAGCTTCATAAATTTTGAAAGGACAAGATTTAGTAAGGTGTCGGCTCACTTTTTAGAAAATATTGCATATAAATACTCCCTATACAATGAATTTACATACTAAATTATAGCTAGAAATACATGAAAATGGAATAATAAGTAAGCTATCTCCGGAATGACAATTTTGCTATTCTAACTTATCTACTACCTGTTATTTATCATTTAACCACTTTTAAATAAAATTCTAAGAATGTTCTATGTATTTATTTGTGTATAGATTGACGTCCATATAAGTAAAAAATATATTGCGGATGTCCTTAAAAATTTTTATTTTTTAGAAAGCAGTATTTTTTCTAGTAATAAATTGTCCCATATTTATCATTTGCATCAAATCCATAAAAATGGGGAGGTTATTGCAATCACAGCAAAATTCGAATTTAAGATAAAACTAGACCTTTACATTCTGAGCTCCTGGTAATCCAAACACATGTTTTTAAAAAATCTTCGCGTATATGTATGTGTGAAACATTTTTTATAAGCACGATACAGCCCAAAAAATCCGGCCAATTTCGATGGAATTTAGAACACAAGGTACCCTGAAGAGTTGATTAGATTTTTTGGATCGAATATATACGAGCTAGTTTTTATACTTAGTATATTTCTGGTTTTTATGATTGGAAAATAAAATTCTTTAAATTCAAGTTTTTTTTATGTTGTCATCTTTAATTTTTGTTATACACACGTTATCTCTAAAATGAACCATATTGGAGATATTTGCTGAAATGATTGGAGAAGAAGTTTTTTATGATATCATTATCCATAAATTTTGTAAAAAGTACACGAGATATCTCTAAAATAAACCATATTGGAGATATTTTATAAAATGTACGAAACTTATTTTTGTTTTGTTTTGACTCAGAGAAAAGTTATGGTTAGGACACATCAGATAAAAATGCGAATACAACAAAATTTTGCATTTTATACTATTTTTTTTATCGCCCATTTATAGGGGACTTTTTTGGTCGCTTTGCGATAATGCGTTTCTTTAAATTTTGTAAAGTGTAGTGTTATTATTACCATATAAATATTTTCTAGGTGATCTCGAAGAATTTAGAAAAAAAGTAGCAAACAAACTTAGAAATTCAGGGCAAAAAGCAATCCAACCCGTGCCTAAAACAACAACGTGCGAAGAACCAAAAAAGCCAATTCCGGAAATACCCAAAACCAGGGCGACAGCCAGTCTGGAAATCGATTTCACTCCAAGACAGTTTCCGACGCCGTGCAGAGAATCAAAACTAGAGGAAGAACACGAGTATCTAACGAAACAAGCTGAAGCTAGACGATCGGTCGGATTCGTAAGCGAAGACATCAGACCCGAAGAGAGAAATCCTCATTTCATCAAAGCCAAAGGGGACGAATTTCTGAAAAACAAGAACTATCTAGCGGCCATTAGTGCTTATTCTTTCGGAATAACCTTAAGCAAAAATTTCGTTGACCTGTACATATCACGCTCAGAAGCGCACATGGCTCAGGGAAACTACTGGAGAGCCGCGCAAGATTGCAGTACCGCCTTGGAACTCCTGAGCCCCATTTGCGAGGCTAACCTGTACGAAAGAGCCTTGTGCACGGGCAGAAGGGGCGAAGCATTATGTGAACTCAATATGAAAAAGCAAGGAATTCCTGAATTAGAATTCAGCTTAAAATTAATAGATCAAGAGCATTATAGGGAGGTGCTACAAAAAGAGAAGGTATTGTACGAGAATCAGTTGCGTAAAGACGAGGAAAATAGGGAAAAACGGTTAAAGGAGGAGCTAGAGAAAAAAGCGGAAAAAGAAAGAAAAAAGAAAGAAAAAGAGTTGGAACAGAAACATAAAGAGGAACATGAAAAACAAAATAAGGAAAAGGATGAAAAATTAAAACAAAACCCTAAAGAAGAAACGAAACAAAAAGAGATAGAATATAAACAAGTAGAGTCGAATATTAAACAAGAAGCGACAGAACAAAATAAAGACGAGACGAAACAGAAAAATATAGAACATGAACTGATAGAGCTAAAGGTAGAAGAATTGTAGCAAACTAAATTAAGAGAAGAATAGTTCAGGAGAAAAATAGCTTCTAAACCAATAGTAACGACTAGAAAATTAGGAATGTTAGATCGACTATTTTTATCTTTGTGTTTGTTATAAAATAAATATTTAAAATATTAAGTTATTTTGTTCTATATATAAAAATAATAAAACGTATTTTTTAACATTAAATAATTCGCTTGAGATTGTCTTTCTGGTGCTTCCTTTAACTCTCCTAACTTTGCGGTCTATAGTCATTTTATCATTAGCTTGCCTTATTAAACAAGAAATTGTAATAAAAACTATCCATTTCAAAATAATTCTAATGGTGTGGCTTTTATGAACAAATACAAAAATAGGTAAAACGTCATATAAAGGGAGAAGTAAATAGAAGAGAATGTAAAAAATAGAAAAAGGGACAAAAATGAAAGAAATAGAAAGCGTAAACAAAAGTGTGAAAAATGGATTTGATGATTTTCTCGATCATGCCTCTAAAGGTAGTGAGAAGACCATATGGGCCAAGACAAAAGATGTAGTATTTGGGCGTGTTCCGCGTGACAATCATAATGAAAATTGGGTTTTTATGAATACATAAAATACGTGTTTTTAGACGATTTTGTAAGCGCTACTATGTGCATTAACAACTAGTTAACATAGGCGCTAGTAGGCAGAAGTGATAAGCCTAAGTTTTGCGAGTAACCAAAAGAGTAAAACAATAACCGTCTGTCGGTGTTTTGCTTGCTGCTATAAAGTGACAGTTTGATTGCTTTCATGTAGAAACGTTGAAAAAAAAATACATAAGGGTTGCCAATATCGAAATAGAATAAACTGATGGAAAGTCATTTTTCAGAGGTTTTTTTCATGAGTTCGATTCTTTAACCTATTAAACAATATGTAGATTAGGTGTATTGTATAGTATGACAAAAAAATCTTGGAGGTTGAATGCGCCCCAAACAAAGACAATTGTTAAAGTTGCAGAAAAACATATAAATATTTGGGACTATGCTGTTTTTCTAAGTCCCTCCAGGACGTTACTTTAATCACATATAATAAAAGGCAAACATTTAGGAAGAATGTGAATATGTTTCTCCTATTTTTCAGTCATCGTATTTTTCATATATCATGTTGTTATATGTATAGTTTCTACTATATAATGTTGGTATAGTATTAGTTATATAGTTCCTAGTATATAAGTTCTGTTAAATATCGATATATGTGAATTATATAGCAATTCGGCTATTAATCATTCATTACTGATTTATATTGTAATAAAGAGAGAAGTCGATAATAAAAAGTAACATTTAAAGTGTATTTATAAATATTCCTAACAATCATATTGCTCGCAAAATGAGTTATTTTAAACCCCTATTACAATAGCTGCAGCGATCAATGATATCCAATGGTTTTAAATAAAAAGTCAAAAATATTTAGTGAGAATGTGAATAAATTGCTTAATGATTTTTTAAAAAGTTGGATAGTTTTCGCAATCTAATAGCGTTAACGTTTAATACTCGCATGTGCAGATGACCTAAAACAAACAGTAGGTACCATCTGTCGAACTCATTACGTGATTTTAACGCAAGCATGAGATGTGCAAAAACGTATTATAAGGTAGTCGTCCCAAATTCAAACACTGTCCGTAATTTAGACATTTCTATTTACTTAGTTAAAATAAGAAATCTATATTATTGATTAACATAACATTATGGGACATCTGTAGACAGAATTCAACATTAAAATTTTTAAAGGAAAGGAAAAACTCTTAACCACAAAAATTATTTATTGTTTTAAAACAGGGAAAAGCGACTAGTTTCGGTCAATGACCATCATCAGGCCTGTAAAAAAGTATGTGATAAGGCTCAATTTGATACAAGTAAAAAAATAATTATATAACAATTACTAGATGATAAATGAGAAATGGAATTTAAAATTTAAGAATTTTTTCAAAAATTTTTTAACATGTGATAAAACTCTCAGGATACTGATAACTTAGTACTTGAAGAACTGGCGAGACTATAACAATGTAAAGGTATTATAACAATTAATGACATGTAAAAAAGGGAAAAATTTGACAAATGTTGAGTAAGAGCAAATACTTCAAACAAAAAATTCTTGTGAATAATTTGTGGCAAAATTACAATCTAATGTTACAAATATTTTAATTTATATGTAGCAATAAAAGCTATACAGATAGAAATATGTGAAGAGTTTTTAAGTTAAATGGTGAGGCCATATATAATTAAGGTATTAAATGTTAAAAAATTGACAATAAACATAGTATTAATTAATAATATATCAACCAATATGAGAGTAAATCTTAATAGTTTGTGAGTAACTAAGCACGTGAATATAAAGAAAATATTAATATAAAGTGGTACATACATAGTAAAAGGACTGGACAAATAAACTAAAAATAGGACATTTGGCTAAGCCGACTGTTGAGCTCTAGATAAGGGCTTACTTCCAAGATTGGTGTTTCAAAATGAGCGTTCTGTCCACCGTACTAAAAGAGGGTGCTTCCTCATACAAAATATGAGAAACAGATAGGAAAGGCCCCAAGAATGGGAGTCGTTGCCAACGAACGTGTGTGGCAACCCCTGCAGCAAAGGTAAAGTCAGAGAGCGGTGTCCTGTTGAACCTAGCACGAGGGTGTATAGTGGTGACCGGCAATAATAGACTCCAGGACCTGGAGTCTCAACAAAAAGGTACATCGGGAACAACATCCTGATGGTTAAAGTTCATGTATCAGGAGATGTAACTTAGATTTGAATTAATACGCACAAGTACATTGTAAACTGGGAAAATTGCGGTTGAATAAGTACGTGTATGGTGTGTTGCGGTACTAGAAAGTGTTATACGATGGCCGGATTAGTTTATTTGTCCAGTCCTTTTACTATGTAAGTACCACTTTATATTATTATTTTCTACATATTCACGTGCTTAGTCACTCACAAACTATTAAGATTTACTCTCATATTGGTTGATATATTATTAACTACTACTATGTTTTATTGTCAATTTTTTAACATTTAATACCTTAATTATATATGGCCTCACCATTTAACTTAAAACTCTTCACATATTTCTATCTGTATAGCTTTTATTGCTACATATAAATTAAAATATTTGTAATATTAGATTGTAATTTTTCCACAAATTATTCACAAGAATTTTTTGTTTGAAGTATTTGTTCTTAGTCAACATTTGTCAACTTTTTCCCTTTTTTACATTGTCATTAATTGTTATAATACCTTTACATTGGTATAGTCTCGCCAGTTCTTCAAGTACTAAGTTATCAGTATCCTGATAGTTTTTTATCACATATTAAATCGCCCCCTTAGTGCAACAACTAGATAACTCGAAATTTGTGCATTTTGAGTTATCCAGTTAAATCTGTCCTATTTTTCATGCTCTTTTCAATGCAACAACTAGATATCATCTAAGAGCTAACAAACTTATTTAGAGAGTGACTAAAAACAGATAACTCCCAATGTATACATTTTATAACTAGACATCTTGAGATATCTAGTTGTAGCACAGGCATTATTGAGTTATCCGCCGGCACCTTGGTCGCTATGAGATATTGCCGAGTTTTGGGTTTTTTATGGTTCCCTAAACGAGCTGAGGAGTTATTTATAGCTAGATGGTAGAACTTTAATAAATCATAATATTAACTGAAATTATTTATTTACTAAGTAAATTATTGGCTTAAAAATAGAAAAAGACAATCTCCATTGATTAATAATAAAAATAACATTAATTAGGTACTCACCAAGGGTACACCATTCTAAAAGGGATGGATGGTGCTTGTGTCGCTCTTTAAAACCAAGTGATTAATGATTTTTAATATTTTATAAAGAAAGTTCGGATTCATGAATTTTTTTTGATCAGGTAATTCGTTGAACCGCGTTTACTACTGTCTTTGCAACGAATTTCCATAAAAGTATCAATAAATTAAGAAACCTGAATTTATACTTCCTCTTTAGAAATAGTATCTTGAAATAAACTAAAAAATGAATGTGAAAATATTAATTTAATATTATGAGATAAATATTTTTTAATAAATGAATAATTATTTAACTATTTTACCTGTAGTCATGTCCCTTAATATATTATTTGACAATATCTAGTTGTGTGCTTGAAACAAGAGGTTTGTTTCTTTGCTGCTAAATTGTTTTTACGGTGTTTTTTTTAAACACTGTTAATGCAAAAATGACGTCAAGGGAATATTTTAGAAATGCTACGTGGCCAATTAGAAAATGATGCAGGTATGTCAAAATCTATTTAAATACATCCAAAGAAAGTATATAGCATCCTATCTTAATATTACTATAATGTACACAGTGTATAAAGAGGATTGTACAGAAAAAAATTTACCTTTCGTAAGTTCGTCAATGTACAGAAAGATATTTTTTGAAAAATACAACTTGGGTTTTTACCGTCCGAGAAAGGACCAGTGCGTACATGTATGAGTTACAATATACCCAGTAGCATTAAAACAGAAATTATAGAAGCTAATTATCAAGCACACCTTGCTGCAAAAGATAGGGCCTGGGAGGAACAAAGGTCCGACAAGAAATTAGCTGAAACCTCCTTCAAAAATATTTTATGTTGCTATTTTGATTTCCAACAAGTTCTCGTGGTTCCTAATGACCCGTTGAACAGTGCCTTATTTTATAAACAGCGTTTGAAGTCGTTTAACTTTACTATTTACAATGTTGTTTCTAAACAGGAGGACTGCTACATGTGGAGTGAAGTTGGAGGAAAACGTGGGAGTTGTGAAATTGCTAGTTGCCTTTATAAATATTTCAAATCATTACCTGAAAATATTAAACACATTATTTGCTACAGTGATATATGTGGAGGACAAAATCTCAACAAATATGTGGCAGCTCTGTGTTTAAAAAGAGTTGGGAAAGTAAACTGGCCTGAAAATTGGAAAACTATAGCTCGCTCTGCAAGAAGAAAAGGTGATAAACCCTATTTGGTTCACGATGTTAGACACAATCAAATTCTTGACTGGAAAACTTATGCAGACCCAAAATTAATATTAAGAAAAGAAGATGAAAGCCATAACTTGGTTAGTTGGCAGAAAATATGCTGGTCGAACTTTTCAAAATCGACGCCATTTAT